CGGTGGGGACTGAATGGGCGCGAGCGCGGCGTCGGGGGCTGGCGGGGGCGCGGGACACGGGGCTGGCTGCCAGCAGACGCCCCTTCCTTAGTATGCAGACGAAGGCGGCGGGCGGCGCGGAGCGGCGTCCCCTGCAGCCGCGAACCGAGGCGGCGGCGGCCGCGGCACCTGCCGGCCGAGGTACGTGGCGCAGCCCACTCCCTCGCGCAGCGGGGCTCGCGGGCTGGGGGCGGCGGCGGCGGCGGCGGCGGCGGCGATCTGTCATTGCCCTCGCCTGTCTGGGCCTAGCGGCTCCGCCCCAGCCCCCACGGGCAGCGCCCAGGGTACGGCGCCCCCAGACGCGCCTCACGGGGACGCGGGCTGAGTCGTGGCTGGCCGGGCGTGGGGCGTTGCGGCCCGCTGTAGAGGCGCAGGGGTGAACGGCCTGGGTGCCCTGTCCAGCCGCGGTGGCCCTTTCCTCACAGCTTTCCGCAGCGGTTCGGGTTTAATTCATTGCTGGAAGCTTCCGAGCCAGCAGAGCCGAGTTAACTCATTTCCCCGGGACCGGATTGGGGGACTCCCCGCAAGGTAACTGGTAGCTCCCAATACCGCTACCGCCCTTTGCATCAATCTAGAAGGTGGGATGTGTGATGTCTGTAGGTAGAAATTCGCCAGTGACCTTTCCTGCCCCCTCTCTGCGACCAGCCCTGCGGAGGAGATGTTTTGGTGACCTTTGGTTTCTTCTGAATTGCAAGCAGTGACTTGACCAATGTATGCGTTCGTTATGCGCCTTTAGTGTATAAGTAACGCAAGGTTTTTAGAGAGCATTTCTGAGCAGCGAATAAGGAGAGGCAGGGTCCTCTTGCCCCTACTCCACACCAGCTGAGTGACCTTGGCCAACACTGATGTCCCTGTGGAGTTCGGTCTCCTGGTCTGTACTGAGAAGCTTGATCTGCTCATGGTCGTGGTCACTTCCAGGTGACCCCGTTCCGTGATTCTGAGCACAAAATGTATTTAAGATATAGAGGGTCCTGCAGAATCACTAGCTGACTTGAAAGACTAATTTTATGTTCTCACATTTTAATTAGTGTACATAATGGCCTCTGCTTAATTAGGTAGCATTGTTTTAAAAGGGAAAATGGTTTTACCTGCGGTGCTTTATCTGGCACCCTTGGACTGCCTGCTCTTCTGCCAAGCACTTTTCTGGGTATTGGGATTGTGAAGAGGAAGGAGACTCATTTCCTGCCTTCTGGTGTTTAGCGGAGCCCTCTTCTTGGCATATGACTGCTAATCCTCTTCCACAGAAGGTCGCATGTCCTGAAACTGGAAGAGGTACCTGTATCTGTTGATTGAAGGGGTACAGGCTCAAAAACAGTCAAGAAGGGTTGTGGTTCCGTATGTGTAATCCTGAAAGCTTGACAACTTAGAAGCATGTCTTACATCCCTGCTCATAGAGCTGGGGATCACCTAAATTCCAACCAATGCTTGGGCAAGGAGAGGCTGCTATGAGCTTCAACTGTACTGTAGCCACATGTCACAGGGCTTTTTACATGTCTGTCCATTATGTGAGTGCTGTTGTTTCTGTGAGAGGAAATGAACCTTCCTTATAATTAGTAGTCATTTCTTTCCCCAGGCAAGAAAAGAAATGGGTGAGATAGAAAGGCATGAAGAGGTTTATGAAGAGGGCCGACAGGCATAAATTCTAAAAAATTGCCTTTTATGACTGCCTATTTTGAAAATGCTTGTAATTTTGGCATAGATTACCAAATTGCCCCATGTTACTATACCAGTCTATTTTGATTGGTATTGAATTTAAAGGATATGTTCAAGGGAGAATAAGAACAGACTCTTTGTTCTTTGATTTTGTCTCCTCCAGTTCTTCTCTGCTTTCCTTGCTGTGCTATTTGACAGCAGTGAGGGTGTTTATTTAGCAGGTTGTCTCTTGGGAGGTGAATGGACAATAAAAGAAGATGTTAAAAATTACCTGGCTGCCTTGTCAGTCTTCATATCTTTATGGGGCTCCCCTAGGTACATATTACATTTGTTTTTCCTTCTGTTAATATGCCTTATATCAATTTAATTATTAGAACAGTCAAAGAATCTAGAAGGCAAGACAGGAAGATTTTTCTGCCCTTATATTCCCTTCCAGTCACTACCCTCCTCAAGGGAAACCCCTGCCTGACTTCCTGCACTTGTATAAATGGAATCCTACAGTGTCCATCTCTCCTTACAAGTTAGTTTTCTGTGATTCACTCATGATGCTGCCTGTGATAGTATGTTCACTTTCATTGCTGATTTGGTCATGGAGTGACCAAATCTGTGCACTGTCGATGGACATTTGGGTAGTTTCCAGCATTTTGGTCTTTACAAATAACGCTGTTGTGAGTGTTCTCATACTTATCTTTGGTATGCATTTCTGATGGGGGTATACAAAGGAATATGAATACTGGGTCGTGGGTTGTGTGTATGCTTAGCTTTTGGAATAATTGCATTGCTTGTTCCTTGTTACTAGCTGATGTGTGTAACGTCTCTTTTCACCGTCACTTCACCAAGGAGACTGAAGCAGGAGTCGGACGGGGAGTCATGGCCAGTTTCTACATGGCTGTGCCCCATGTGTTGTTGGCAAGTGCAGTCACCTCCAGGCCCCAGTCTCCCCTGGGTCAAGCAGCAGGACAGGCTGAGCTATGGGAACCCTTCTGCTTCAAGGATCTGTGTCTTCAGGGAAGAATTTCTCTGGCCAAACTGTTTTTCTTTGTCTGAATTCCCTTGCTTCTTACTGCAGAGGTTCCCGGGAACCTCTCCTCCCTTAGCTTTTGTAATATTGTACTTTCTATACTTTGCTTCTACTTCTCTGACCTGTCTTCCTTGCACCTCTGGATTTCTACTTAAGAATTCCCCTATGCCCTAAACCAGGGGTCCCCAACCCGCCAGGCTGCAGACTGGTACTGGTCTGTGGTCTGTTAGGAACCAAGCTGCACAGCAGGCAGTGAGCTGTGGGCAAGAAACCTAATCTTCATCTGTACTTGCAGCACAGGAGGTGAGGCTGTGGGCAAGCAAGGAAGCTTTATCTATACTTGCAGCTGCTCCCCAGCGCTGACATCACCGCCTCAGCTCTACCTCAGATCATCAGGCATTAGATTCTCACAAAAGCACTGGTGCCAAAAAGATTGGGGACTGCTGCCCTAGAGGAAAAACCCATTTCTTGTTTGGTCTTTTGAAGCTGTACAAGACATTTTTGTTCTCCTCTTACATGGTGTAAAAAAATATCTAGGATTAAGTGATTGGGTGGTTCACCAACTCCTATACGCATGAATTTTCCCCCTTTCCCTTTAAGTTTTTGATATTTGGAATCATAATAGTTAAGTATCATATGATATGATTTGATTAATTCGAAGAGGGAAAATCGATGAAAACGAATTAAATTTTAAAAGTGTACTTTGATGAAATAATAGTTCTGTCTTGTGAACATTAAGGCTTTTTAAAGACTAGGTGTCATTTTTATAATTAAAGACATTGTGTAATGTTCAGAGCAGTAGTTTTTCTATTACACATGTACAGTTCCTTCTACCCTGACTTTCCTCTCCTTACTTTCTACTTTTTCATCTTCTTCTTTCTTCACCTCCATTCTGCCTTTAACGTCTTGTTCTCATTTCCTATCTAGACTGCAGCAGCAAAAGAGAAGGACAGAGTGTGATACTTCATCAAGGCCGCCAGTACTCTCTTTGCTTGTCATTTTCTGCAATCAAATCCTTAGTCATCCAGGACTTGATGGCTGGTGCAGGCATCCTGCTTATCTTTCCTCTGGGCCAGTACTGTCCAGTGGAACTATAACTCAAGCCACACATATAATTTAAAATTTTCAAGTAGGTACATTTGAAGAATTAAAAAGAAACAAATGGATCAAAGTTTTAATTTTCCAGAAAGATAAAAACTTCTCAACTTAAAAACACCTAATAACACAGCCTGAAACTAAAGTAAGATAACAGAATGAGAAAAAAGTTTCCAAATCTGCCATCATAGTGAGAGATTTCAGTATACCTCTTTCAGTATCTGATAGAACAATCTACTAAAAACCATGGAATTATTAAAAAAAAAAACCCACAAGCTTGATCAAACTGATTATATAGTATATATAGAGAAACATAATTCCAGCAAGTGAAGATAATACTTTTACAAAAACTGAGTATACACCAGGTCATAAAGTAAGTCTTAACATATTTAAAATAATTAGTATCATACAAATGTCAAAGTTCTTTGACCACAATGCAAATTATATATCAATTTTAAATTTTTTAAAATTAAAAAATTTTTAATTTTTTGAAAATTTGAATTTGGAAACTGAGATTTGAAAGATAAAGAAGTAAAGAAAATATATATCAAAACTTGTAGGATGAATTGTACACTTAAAAAAACTTGTGGGATGTAACTAAATCAGTATTTAGAGAGAAATGTAGTCTTAATTCCTTATATTAGCAAGAAAAAAAGGCAAAAATTAATGAGCTAATCAGCTAAATTAAGAAGAAACTAGGAACATTGCAATTAAAATAAATCCATAGAATGAGAAGGAATTTTTAGAAACAGGTGAAATTAATTTTAATTATTTTAGTTAACCAATTATGTCCAATATATTATCAAATCAATATAAAAATTGTTAATGAGCTGTTTTACATTTTTCTCTTTCAGTTATCTGCCAAGCGAATCTAGGATCATGGTAATCTAGCAGTGTTTTGCAGTTGGCAAGGAGAGTAGGCTCTTTGTGAAAATCTTGATAATAATCCCCTCACCCCCAACAAACCCACATGCTACAAAGCATAGGATGGAAAAGAGGATAAATGCTATACTGACTCACTTTTCCTCACCTGTTCTAGACATGTTATATATGTCAGCCCATTTAATTTTCACAAAAGCCATATGAGTTTGGTATCATCCCCATTTGAGGGCATTGAGGCTTAAAGAGGTTAAGAATAACTCTAGGGGACAGAGCTAGGATTCAGATGCAGGCACTCTGGCCTGCAGGTGGTAGATGAAGCCAGTGCATCCCTGTCTTTGTAGCATATAGTGCATCCCCACCCCACTCTGCAGAACAGCTCCTATGGAAATTCTTGGAAGTGTCAGCTGAGGTGGCTGAGATGGCTCTGTTCCCTGGTCCAGGTCGGACCTTCCCAGGCATACCTCCTGACTTGTCTCAGTTCACAAGAGGACTTCTACATCTCTAGTCCAGCCTCAAGAGAGGTCTCTCCAAAATCCAGTTTCGGTTTCAATCGCCCCCACCCCACACCCTTCCCCAGTTGCTCCTTTTAGCATAAAATTCCATCTCGCCATGACCTGGCCTGCTTGTTTTTTCCAGCCTGTTAGTACATTGTTGCCTCCTGGGCTGGGCCTTCAGACACTCCACTGGGAGTTGTCCCCTTAATGCCTGCTATCCCTGTTCAGGTGGTACTTGTTTTCCCCTGCCCCTCCCCAAGTCCTACTCATTTCCTATTGGGGGAGCTTTTTCTAAGCCCCTTCCCATGCACACATGTACACACACACCCCAAATCTAAAATGCCTCCTGACACTGACTGCTCTCACGTCCAGTGAGAGTAAGG